CAAAATGGCTTATGATTCCAACTGGCATCTGGTGCTGAGATTTGTTACGTCTTCAGCGACATTGGATGCTAGTCTAATGGCAACGCACATATATTTGGAGGTGAATGATGCCTGCTTTGACCTTCTTCTTTGTCCCTTGTATTTAGGATTTGTGCAGGTTTAAGGGAACTGTTCCTAAAGGGTGTCATGTTGTTAAGTGCAATTTTATGCAATGATACATTTTTATCATATTACCAAAAAAAATGGAGTTACTCACCAGCCTAAGAAATTATTAAACAACTGGAGCTAGTTTTAATATGCTATTGGAAATTTTATTTTTCTTGAAAGTTTGTTGAAAATGATAGGGCAATAAAATTCTACCTTTAGTGACTTGAATCTTTAAAATTTAATTTGAATTCTTATACGAATGGTTCTTAGCTGGAAAGAGCAGTCGAGAGTAACAAATCAAACATCATCTGCTTATGAGAAAAATATCCTTCTGAAGTCTAAATCGGTAGCACGTTGTTACTCAATTGGACAGGAGCCGAAATGGTTTTCATTTCCTGGCTCAAGTGTAAGCAGACAGAACTGGCACATGTGCAGAGGCTTCACTGGATTCTTCAGGCTTCTGATAGCCACAGGCAGTGACACTAGTCATAGGATCCAAAGAAAACGCAGTGTTGCAATAAAACATGCAGAGAGAGATTAAATTTATCCTTAAGTTTGAGTCCTAAGAAATAAATTTCTTTTGTCTTCTATAAGCAGAGAAATGAAGGTGTGTGTACACCTTTACAGGGTTAGCTGCACAAGTCTTCACTTGCCACTGTAGAAATACTAATGGTCTTCAAGTGATCATGGGTTAAAAAATTAGCTGATAATGTTCCTGCAAAAATATCTCTATGTAGGTCATCATATTTCACTATGAGCTGTAAAGATTTTATTGTGTGTATGTGTGCGTGTATTTTAATCCATGACCCGCACTGTCACATGTGAGAAATCTAAGTAGATCTGCCCAGAGCAGTGAGGCGGTCCTGTGTATAAAACTGAAGTACAGAATCAGGAAAATAAAATAGTAGGATTTTATCCTTGAGATTGGTCTGAGTTGCAGAACTGGGTTGTGTCTGCTCCATCTACCTATAAAGTAAAAAACATATACTCGGAAGTACATTATTTTTTTTCAGTCTAATTCTTCTTTAGTTTCATTTATCTTTATTTTTTTCTTAAGGAAAACTTATTGAGAGGTATAGCCAACACGCAGGGATTTATCTTCCTCTTAGGGTTACCTCCCTACTATGTGTTTGGAAAGTGGTAGGCAATGCATAACCCACACACACACCTTTTCATGGTGTTCTTGATCCTACTCTTGTTGAGATTTATCTTCTTTCGCTTTATATTTTCCCTCCAGGATGGACTGCTGCTCATTTCCATTCTGTTCCATATCTAGAGCTCATTCCCTTCTAATAGGATGCTTCTGTGTACGAAAAGGCTATAGACTAAGGGGTGCCAAGGGGGCTCCAGCTGCTGCTTCTCATCTCTGTTCTCTGATGTGCAAACTTCCATCTACCTTGCAGGAAATGCAGCCATGGACCAACATGGGTTGTGTAGTCCCATAAATCACCACCCTATCCAGTGTGCTTCCCAAGACCAAGTAAGGCTAAGAGGCTTTGACAGGACTACCCAGGCAGATGATCTTTAGCATCTGGTCCTGCAGAAAGTTCTAACTCAGGTCTGATCCTCCTGTGGGAGCTGCAGAACCTCTGCTTTATGCTTCTGAGTGGCCAACAGATGTCTGCAGAGAACACACACACACACACACACACACACACACACCTACCTCTAAAGGAAAAATATTATTCTAAATGACAATTTCAAGGCCTTCTTATCTCACAATGAATGTAGTATTTCATGTAAGCTTTCAGGTTAGAAAATTTCATCTCATTTCTGTATTCAAATCCTAGGGTCATTTTGAGGTCTTACCTCAAATTCTAGGGTCATTTCCCTCAGCCTTTTTTTTTTTTTAATACTGGGCATTTAAAAAACTAAATCCATTCTATTCCTGTTTCTTAGTGTGGAAATCACGTCATAATTGCTGAACCTTACTGCAGAAATATGTGTTGTTAAAAATTTCTATGATATTGCGGTGGCCTATTCCTAAGGAACTGCATATCATACATTTAATGTTTATTTAACTCAGCTTGATACTGTACTGCAGTTAGGTTTGAATAAATATTTTCACTAACTGCAAAAAAAAAAAAAAAGGTACTATCCCTTAAAGCTGACTCTGTTGGCCTATCCAGACTCCTCTAAATCTTGGACATTTTACTTGCTTTACTGGCCTGAATTCTACAAGCACCAATCTTCTCCATAGCCTCTGTTGGTCTGAATAGAAGGGAGGAAGTAAGGTACTGGAGGGGAGGATTTTGAATTTTTTTTTCACTTGGAAAAGACTTAACCCTGTGGAGACCTAAGGTTTTAAAAAGGTCATTTTGCCCACTCCTGGGACTAAACCAGCACTGTCTGATAGTAATATAATGTCAGCCGCATATGCAACTTAAAATTTTCAAGTAACCACACGTTTAAAAATGTAAAAAGAATAATATGAAATTAATTGTACTGATGTGTTATTTAGCCTAATCAGGGTCTCAGTGAGGGCTCAGTCAGAAAAGCAGAACCAGTAGAAGATTATGCAGACATATTTGTATATTAAGAAATTTATTACAAGGAATTGGCCTATGTCATTGTGGAGACTGGCTAAGCAAGTCAGAGCCCATAGGACAGTAGTCAGGAAGGGAAAATCACAGGCAAACTTCAATCCACAGGCAGGGACGAAAGCTGTCATCCCCAGACAGAATTTCTTCCCTCTCTCTGGGAAACCTCATGATCCAAAATCATCTTCTTATTTAAAGTCTATGGATTAGGGATTTTAATTATATCGTAAAATACCTTCAGAGCAAATCCTAGATTAGCGTTCATTTGAATGACTTGGGATAGTCAACCAAGTTGACACACAAGTAAAATGATCACACTAAATATGTCCAAAATCGTATCATTCTGATGTTATTAATATAAAATCATTAATGAGATATTTTACATTCTTTTTTGTACTAAGTCTTCATAATCCAGTGTATACTTATGCTCACAACGCATCTCAATTTCAACTAACTGTATACCGTGTCCTTGATATGCACATAAGTCCTGCGGTTCCTGCCCAGTGAAGGTCCAGCTAGTGAAAGTGATTAGGCAGGCTGGTTATCTCATGTCCTTAGACAGTTCTAAAGATGCAGATTCTGTGTGTGTGTTGAATAAGGTTTATGTTAGCTTTATTGCCTATAGCCTATAAGATGTGGCTTTACTGTGCCTTTGCAAACTGGGCATTTTTCTTTATAAACATCAACATTTTCCATACATGTACCTCTATATGATAATTTATGGTGCAGCACACTCTTGCTTGCATAATTGTAGAAGTGCTGTGGAAACCAAGAGCACAGGGCAAACAAAAGAAATACAGTCCTGAGCCATCTGAGCAAGCTCTTGGGGGCTCATTTTTGTCCCACAGGGGGCATTTGGCATGTCTAAAAGACATTTTTCATAGTCATGACAGGGGATGGATCTATGTGCATTTAACAGGTAGAAGCCAGGGACTCTGCTAAATACCACAGCTTGCACAGAGTAGCCCCACTCTACCTCCAATCAATGATTCACCCAACTCAAAAAGGACTTTTGATAAGTGCCCAACAGATATCTGGAACACATGTGCGCGCGCGCGCGCGCACACACACACACACACACACACACACACACACACACACCTGGGGTAGGATTAAGAGATCTATAGAGAAGAGATTTTTTTTTAAATATGGTGAGAGAGGCAGGGAAATAGAAGTTTCCTATGGGCTTTGAAGATCTCTCTTTGATACTTGGAGAACTTTTATCAGAGATGTGATTAGGTATCTTAACTCTCGTGTATCTCTATTGCCATATCGAAGTCAGGGATGGGATAAGGGTAAAGGAATGGCCCTGTAAATGCTGACAGGGGAGATCCATGGGGCAAACAAGGGGGGTGGATTTTCACAGTGAGGATTACCTCCTTAGCAGGTGAAAGTCACTACCCATCTTTTCTGAAGATACTTAGGAATTTCCTACAGTTGGTCTTGATTTTCGACTTCTGGAAAAATTACGAAAATGTAAATTCACATTTACAAATGGAGAATTTAAAATGTGTACAGTAATTAGCACCATCTCAGATCATCTGTGAAATAAAGTTGTGATAAATAAATAAGTAAAACTCATTAGCATTTTTCTAAGAAAAACCATGGTATTAAGATTAAGTCACTTTTCAGAGGTAGTAATCGTATTTGTAAACTCTAATATCTAATTTAGGTCTATCCAAATTAACTGCAAATTCAGAATTAACTTCATTTTCTAAGCCTTGGCAGTGAATGTATACTGAAGCTAGCAGCAAATTAAATATATTTGTTAAAACTTGATATTTAGAAAAAAAGCTGACTTATTCCATGAAATGTGTCATATCTGCATGCAGTAATTATTGGCTAAATGCAATGCCAAATTCTGATTATAAACATAGCTTAGAGTCAATACTTCTGAGATATATTTCCTATTAGGTTGTTACAGTTCATTTCACAAATTCTTAATTTAATATGTAAAAATGAAATCTTCCTCAATCTAAATGACATTTTTACTAAGGATTCTTAATTGTATTGAGAGTGATTGAAATAAAACATAATTATAGTTTGTGATCAATTTTAGCACTAGAAATGGTGACAACATATCCTCACTGATGTAAGTTTTTAAGCTTTTTAAAATAACACTAATTTGGAGGTAAATCCAACTTTTTTCTCCTTATTTCAATAAATAAGTGATTTATGTAGCAATATGTTACAATGACTTTTTCCATTGAGGAAGAATTAGATTTCAAGGTAAAATTTTAAAGTTTAGCTATAGTGTATAGTTTATACATTTTCAAAAAGAGTTTTTAAATCATAAATTCTATGTTTTCCTAGAAATACACAAAGAAAAGGCTGAAAAGGAAGAGAAACCTGAAAGGAAAATACTAACCAAAGGTAACTGTTTTGTTTTGCATTTATTTTTATTTTTATTTAGGATATATATTTTGGGTATTCATATGGGAGAAAGGAACATTTTCATGTGGAGTGTTCCCTTGTTTTAACATTTTTGATAGCGTGTATATGAGTACCTTTATTTCTCGGTTAACTTCAGGTACAAATATATAAGTGATATTTGAGTATTGGAATCAAAGTAATTTCAAATCATTGTGACAATCTTTAAATTATTTACCACTGGTTTTTACTTACTAAGATAGTACTGTAAATACAGTTTTGGACTGCCTAGCAAATATTTTTTTCTTCTTTGAATATGTTACTATAATGTCAATTTTTTTTTTAACCTTGAATTTTTTTGCACCATGCAGTACCTTGAAAATCTTTGGCACAGAAATGCAGTCATTATATTGCCTGACTACAGACTGCTACGACCCCTCAGCTTTCTTTCACAGCCTCTAGGGGGTACATGGACATTGACAACGTGATGATTAATATCCCTTTCAACTCAACTGAATCCAGTAACTGCAATCTTGCATTTAAGGCATATTAATAATGGCCAGCATTGTCTTGCTCATTTTACAAGCATCTCTTTTCTAGGAGTGGCCCTTGTAGTCATAAAACTTTAAAGAAACCTCTAGGAAGTGAGAGCTTTCAAAGGGATATATTTCTAAATATGTCCAGGATTCCTCAATGACCAGCCTCACATGCATTTTAAGTGAGTCGGGGCAAAAATTAAAATATCAAAAAAAATTAAAATATCATAATTCCATATCATAAAAAGATGTGCTCCGGACATAAAATGAAATAATTTGTCTGGGATAGACATTGAATTTTGTGTAATATTTATTATGTCGAAACTCACTAATGTAAAATTAGTTGCAAATAGTAGGATTTCAAATAATAGAAGTTCTACTTAACCTTAAATTATACCAATATGTGAATCTATATTAAAATGCCATTTTGAATATACCTATGCACTTCCTTTTTGTGAAGAGCTTAAATCATTCTGCATATTATGTCTTTAATCCTAATGTTTGAATTCATTCCTGATTGGTCAATGAATCCTTATACAATCAGGGACATTGAAGCTTACTCAGTTGAAACCTATTTATATTTGTATTTAGGGAACTAATGTCTTCTTACTGTTCCCTTTCCTTTTTTGGTCCCTAATTCCTTTGGTCAGGGAAATAGGACACAGCTCCGGGGTATGGATTAACTAAGCTAGCCGTGACTGAACTGGCTATGTGTTTCAATCTGCTGGAAGTTAAACAGAAACTCAACTGGTTCCACACGATTGGAGTCTCTGCTGTTTTATCTTGCAGACTGTACTATTAATTTAATAGCAGTACTGCTGGAGTGGATGTGGTGATGCAGATGGCACCATTTGCATTTTGGACCTGGTTCTATTAGAGTCCTGCTGTTAAAGACTTTGAGCAGTGGGCTGTAGAGTGGGCTTATTAAACTAGTGAGTCTTGCATAATTAAAACAGGAATTTGGCTGAAGTTTAAAATAAATTTCTCAAAGGCTGGGTTAGAGATTATTACCTGAATATATTCCCTGAATAGACCAAATATATTTTGAAACGTGAATATTTCTCAAGAAAGAGAAAATGGAGCTTCAACTGTTGAAGTCTTCAATGAGCTTTAGGGGTAGTTTCTTCTTTCCATATTTTTTCTGTGTCAGTATGAATGAAAGTTTCCATTTTACTGCTTGGTTTCTTCATCCAGGTAGAATAATGCCTGCTTTTTATTTCCAGGTAGTTCAGTGAAAATATATGCGGTTTTATAACTATTCACATATGTAGATAAATATGTTTTCTCTATGCCACATTTCATATCAGTCATGGTTATGCATGATGAATGGTTAGGAATTTAAATTCTTATCTAAAAATTTGAACTCTTATAAGAAAAGATACAATGTAGCCAAGGTAAGAGTAGCCTGTGATGGTTATAAACATGCCAACAATTATCTGAGTCTAAAAAGCTGGTAAAAAATAAAAATAAAAAATAAAAAGCTGATGAGTTCTGGTGAAGCTGGTAGAGAAAAAAATACTGGAAGTGATAGAAGCTAGATTACACTCTATTCTCTCTCTCTCTCTCTTTCTCTCTTTTTCTCCTTTAAGGGATTCATATGGTATTTGAAAGGGCTTTAGGAATGTTAAGTCTTTGGGAAAGCTCTGGAACTTTACATGTAGATAATTTGCTCATCAGATGGAATACAAAAAACCAGACAAAATGTAGTCCCAGAGAAAATCCATTTCCAAAATAATTCTACATAAATATGCTATCTAATTCACTTTAAACATCAGCAAATCGATTTTGGTTTCCACCTCTTTTCATAGAAAATTAGTACTTTTTATAGTCATCCACCTTATCTAAATGATTTTAATTCATGAAGCCAAGGTAATTTTTATTCCTATTTTTCCCTCTGTTTATTTTGTCAGATGTTTTTTAGGGCAACGCAACAGTTTCTTGGAACTGAGGGGTGAGCCCTTTAATTCTTAATCTGGCAATAAGTACTCATTTTGGTTTTAAGGTATAAACTGTAACATGTTAGTTAATGTTTTTGTTTTAATTAACCTTGATTTGTCCCTACATAAAAGAAGTTATCACTTATTTTATCAATATGATCACAGTAAGTCTATATCCGTGAACTTATATTAAAATAATGTAGTAATTCAGCAGAATATTAGAAGAGACTTACAACCATATTTTAACTTTTCTTGGGTTACCAAGATACCACTCACCAAATTGTTGCTGATATAAATGGCCCCAGTGAGTGCGTAAAATTCCATCATGCCGGAGGGGTTTGTAGGCACTGAGTGTTTTGCTGTGTCAGAAGTTAGCCTGAAGAATGCTGTTTCCAGTCCAAAGTGATGGCTTCTAATGGAAGATTCTGTAGGTCAAAATGACCTTGCAAAATACACTCATATTTAAGCCAAATCTTTTAGAATTTTTTTCTGTCTAACCTCTAAGAACTATTTCCAGCTGGAGATGAGTAAGGCAGTCTAGAGCCCACAGTCCATGGGTAATTCAGAGGAGTAGATGACCATTGTGGGATGCAGAGCCACATATCAAATGACAGGAAATATCGGTCAGTCTCACCCAGTTTGGGTATCCTTCAGAGGTATAAGTAACTATGTATGCATATGTCTTAAAACATAAGATAGATAGTCATTGTAGAGAATTATAGAAACTAGTGCTATTTGTCATAAGTAGAAGGTCTGAGTCATGATTGTTAAAGACCATTTCTTTGGCTCATGGCAAACACTAGACATGCTTATTCAATAATTAAGCTAGGAGCACAATATATGATTTTTACAAAGAAGATTTTGACCACTCTTTTCTCCTACTTTTAGAAATGTCTTGAATTAACCAGAATCCAGATCTCCTAACTACTAACTCTGTAACCTTGGACAGGTTGATTTGTTTTTTGTTACCTCTATTTTCTCAGATGTAAAAATGAGTAGAGTACAGTTGTAAAGATTAAATGATTATGAAATGTATATATGAAACTATTCAAGGAATTCTCGGCAAATTTTAGTTTCAGCAGTAACTATCAGTCAATTAACTAATCCTCTTTATCACTACTGATTAGGTCAGTGACAATCCTTTGCAGGTTTCTTCGCTGCGTTATTTCTCATCCTATATTTGGGACCACTTGATACTCACTGTATCATAGGCTGAAGGAACTTAAGATCTCTCATCCCAAGATTCTGTAACACAACACTAAACTACCCTTTTGCCATTTCACCTCTGTATTTGTGCTTCTATTCCTAAAAACAAAACAAAACAATACAAAACAAAACAAAAACCTCATGTAAGCATTTATCTACTATGAAACACACATTGTACTTAATCTATGATCCTAACATGTCACCTAATCTTCACGGAAGAATCCAATATGTGAGGTATAATCCCATTTAAAACTGAGAATACGGAGGTTTATCTGACCTTAATGATTTTCTCAATATCTCATGTTTATTAAGTGGTAAAGCCAAAATTTAATCTCAGATTTCTCTAACTTAAGAGTATGTGGCTTTCCCACTATCCTTCCACCCCAGTTTCTTTCTTCTTTCTTGCTCCATTGTGTCTGAGTGTCTGTACTAGAATTTTCTCACAGCTGAAGGATCTTGAATTTTTCTCTGAACCTCCAGTTAGGACCTTGTAATCTGCTGATTAACTTCACTGAGGCCTGGAGTTGTCTTGTTTGAGACTTACCTGCATAGCATGGTACTTAATAAACGATTTCCACCTCTAAATTGCCTCACCATTATTTCTACACTTAGCAAGATGAGAAATGAGACCTGACAGTACTTATTCTTTTGGTAGAAATGCCAAATGGCATGTTGTGTGTGTATTAGTTTTCTGTGGCTACTGTAACAAATTACCAAAAATGCAGTGTCCTAAAACAATAGAAATTCATTATCTTACAGTTCCAGAGGCCATAAACCAAAAATCAGTTTCACTGGGCATACACAAATTGTCATCAGGGCCAAACTACCTCAAGAACTCTAGGAGAGAATCTGTTCCTTGCCTCCTCCAGCTTCTAGGGTGGCTATACTTCTTGCTTTGTGGATGCATCACTCCAATTGCTGCTGCTGTGGTCACAGTGCCTTCTCTTCTGTCCTCAAGTCTTCCTCTGACTACCTATTATCTCTTTTCATAGAAAAGAGTTGCATTTAGGGTTCACCTAGATAATCCAGGATTATCTCCCTCTCTCAAAATCCTTGATTTAATCACCTTGCTATTTTTTTTTCCCTTATGTGGTAACATTCACAGATTCCAGGGATTAAGACAGGTATACATTTTTAGGGGGGCATTATTTAAACCACCCCACTGAGCTACTCTTTTATAAGGGAACAAACCAGTCAAATATTAGAAAAGACTGATAGCTAAATACAAAATTTAGTATTTAATGATAGAGATCACAGAATGGCAAACTTTGCCAAATTTACTGTAGCAACATTGTCATAAGAGTTTTTATATAACTTTAGCCAT